ATTATAATATTATTATAATATCATATTATATGATAAAATAATAATGTTAGAGTTATTAATATAATTATGATATTATTTGTTACAATATTACTATTATATTATATTACGAGTTTGAATTTTAAATGGGGAAGATTGTAAATTTTAAATTTCATTAGGGGTATTATGAAAGTTTTATTAATTGTACAATGCTGATTCCGCACAATCTAAAAGCTAATGTTGTCTTTAGGCTGCTTTTGATTTTGACTGTAGATTCTTAAAAAATTCTTTAAAAATCACTTTTAAGAAGATTTACTAAATATTAAAATCATATTCTGCTACAAGTAGAAGTTGATTTTGGGAGGACAAAACAATACCAAACTAAGCCCTTGTCTCATATTCATCACATGTGCCTCAAAACTATCAAATTATTTTATTTGATTTTGATTTTGATTTGATGTACATGCATAAGAAAATTATCCTACCACCCAATAACTTGACAAATAAAAGCTCTTACTAAATTATGTGATATCATGCTAAAACAACTATATCCAGATAATTATGTATAACATTTATGTTCATGTAATGTAACTTTATTTGATGTCATAAACTTCTGTTATTATCTATCATGCATGTAACATTTAAAGTAGTTAATATATTAACATTTATGTTCATGATGTAACTTTATTTGATGTTACATGTCTCACATGAACTTGTACTATTATCTATCATGAACTCTCTTAATACCACATTAACTAAACACAATATATTACACGGAGTCAACGCAAAGATCACTTAAGTTCTCGTTCGTTTTGTAAATTTAAATTTTTAATTTAAATTAAAATGTAATATTTTTTGAGATCTTGTAATTATAACATAAAAAGTTATATACTATATTTTTTTAAAATTTTTAACTATAAAAATTTAAAATTTAAAATTTAAATCAATAAAATGAACTAAATTTATATATAACTTTTTTTTATATATGAGTTAACGTTTTAAGTATGTGTGTGTAAGAAAAAGAAAGAACATATTAATGCTCAGGTCCCACAGAAAGGACATCATAATAATTCTCTCCAAAGCTATTCTCTCCATAGCTGATCAGCCCCCCACTCTATGGCTCCCATGGTGACCTTAGATTGTGACTGCCACTCCCAGAATCGTAGTGGTCCAAAACCCAAAAACCATACTTTCAAATTGAAAAAAAGAAACATTCAAAAAAATAAAAGTCATATATTTAAAAAATTATATGATAAATACTCATTCACATAAGTTATATATCAGATCATAGCCGTCAATCATATTAAAATCATAAAGATTAAATAGTAAACTAATTTAACAAAACTCAATAAACTTTTAACGACTAGATCTGAATCGTTTTCATAAGATACTTTCCTCACACCTACCGTAAAATTCTCTTTATAAAATAAAATAACTTCTATCCTCTACACAAACCACACTTAATTTCAGTTCAGTCGCATTCACATTCACATTCACATTCACATTCACAAACAATAACTCACCCACTAACCTAACACCAAAAAATACACGTATAGCTAATTATTACAAGTTAAAGCTGTTCATACATTCATTTTCCTCTGCACAAACCAAAAAACCAACAGCAAAACCCCAAAACAGAGCTAATAATAATAATAATAATAATAACAACAACATCAGATTAGATCCTCCATTTTTGTTCTTCTTTGGAGAATGGAGAATAACAAGCAACCAAAGAAGAAAAACTGGTTCCTCCCCTTGATGCTCTCCCTCGTCTTATCCACTTTCCTTGTTTTCATCTTTGTTTTCTCTTCTTCAACCTCGTATTCTTCTCATTTCTACAAGACCCAAGTGAGGAAAAAGAAGAACAATGATGTTATTCCACGTTTTGTGGAATCCAAGCTAAGAATTTCTTCAGTTTCAACTGACCCAATTCCCAGATTGGCTTACTTGATATCTGGATCAATGGGAGATGGGCAAAGCTTGAAGAGGACTTTGAAAGCTCTTTACCATCCGAGAAACCAGTATGTTGTTCATTTGGACTTGGAGGCCTCGGCTGAGGAGAGATTGGAGTTGGCTGAGTTTGTGAGGAATGAACCAATTTTTGGGAAAGTGGGGAATGTTAGGATGATTGTGAGGGCCAATCTGGTGACTTATAGAGGGCCCACAATGGTCACCAATACCCTCCATGCTGCGGCTGTTTTGTTGAAGGAAGGTGGAGATTGGGATTGGTTTATTAATCTAAGTGCTTCGGATTATCCTTTGGTCACCCAGGATGGTAAGGACTTTTCACAAGCTAAAACTTTCCTTTTTTTTTTTTTTTTTTTAGCTTCTTGTTGTTTTGATCCTCTTTATTTTCGTTTTTTATTTTATTTTATTTTTTTCATCTGGGTTTTGTATGTTGATTGCATTGAGACATTGGTAGTTAATGTTAAGGATTAAATCTTTGCTAACCAGAGCAATAATTTTAATAATGTAAAAGAAATATAAGAAAAAGCACTCAAGACTACAGTGGTTTACCCTAAATGTTATAGTTACGTACACTTTAAGCTGTGTAGAATTTCATTACGAGAGTCACACCCCTCAGACTCTCTGTATTTTTCTCTGACTTAATACCAAATTTGATGCCCCTAACATAAGTATAATTAGGGAAACCGAGCGAAGGGTGATAATTAGACTCCGCACACAACCATTTAGTACCCTATTGGGCTGTGGGATTTATTAGGTCTAAAAGCTTGGCAATTTGTCTTGTTACTAATTTTGCTTCTTACTTACTATCTTGTGTTAAATAGGTTGGTTTCCCAATTTGGCTTTGGCAAAAGTCAGGCCAGGTTTAACGACCTAATTGTTTACTATTTTTGCCCCATTTCCTGACAATGATGAATTATTGTGCTGAGCTTTGTGGCTCTTGCTCTTGTCATGTATATTTTTATTTTACCACTTTTCAGTTTTCCCAAGGAAAAGTGGGGCAGGTGGGTGTCTGTTTCTAGTTTTGTTCTACTACCTCTTTTATTTAAGGCTTTCATTTGGTTTCATTTTGTTGCCAATCTAGATTTGTCTCTGGTATTGTTCCTGGATTTGGTGAAAGATAAGGAATATGGTACATTATTCTAATGGCTCAAACAGTAATATCGCCGAGTCCTCAAATATGCGTGTTTTGTTTCCTGTAATGCAGATCTGCTTCATACATTGTCAACTATCCCAAGAAACCTTAATTTTATTGAGCATACCAGTGACATTGGCTGGAAGGAGTAAGCGGCTCACCATGTCCCTTTAGTTATGTATTTTTCTGTTTAATTACGCAAACTGCAGATTAGAATGTTGAAAAATCATATTTTAGTGCGGTTACAAGATTCTTATTTATTTGATCTTTTATTAGGTCTCAGAGAGCAAGACCCGTTATAATTGATCCGGGGCTGTATAGCCTACACAAATCAGACGTATTTTGGGTCCCGGAAAGGAGGGGTGTGCCAACTGCATATAAGCTGTTTACAGGTGCGGATTTCTGTTTTCTTTCCTCTAACTATGTGAATGCAGGTTGTGTTTTCTTGTGCTGAAATAAAAAGTAGGTGAACTATAAGAAAGCATTGCATAATGCATGCACTAATAAGAGCCATTTATTTTAAGGCGTATAAGGGAATAAGTTCAAATATTGCAGCCAATCAGAATCATTGACCTGGATTCTAGCTCTGCTTTCTTTCTTATACCAAAAACAAAGGAATCTCGATATCCTTTTGCCCGGCAAGAGAGCATTTCTTTCACACTCTTCTGGTTTTAGCATTCATTTGCTTGGAAATTTGACATTGTTGTACCTTGATGTAATTACATTTGATGAAATTTCAAGTGTTCTGCCCTATGGTAAGGCACGCTAATACGTCGTATATACTGATTACGGAAGATTTGAATTGAGTTTTAAACTTGTTGCTAGTCAGAATCTGGATTGGTCATTACCTATTGAATTATGTAAAGGAGATGAGATATGGTGCATTAAACTGTTTTTTTTTTTTTTTCCTATTTGTTCATGGCTAACAAACTCCAGATGCTAAATATTTTTGGATTGTGTTTAACAACATTTTCAGGTTCTGCTTGGATAATGCTCTCTCGCCCGTTCATAGAATTTTGTGTATGGGGTTGGGACAACCTTCCAAGGATAGTCCTTATGTACTATGCCAACTTTCTCTCTTCACCTGAAGGTTACTTCCACACTGTAATCTGCAACGCTGACGAGTTTCGAAACACAACTGTGAACCATGATCTCCACTTCATATCATGGGACAACCCTCCTAAGCAACACCCACATTTTCTAACTACTGATGACTTCGAGAGGATGGTAGCCAGCAACGCTCCCTTTGCAAGGAAATTTGGCAGGAACGAGACGGTTCTTGACAAGATCGACACCAAGCTTTTGGGCTGCAATGCTGATGGATACGTACCAGGTGGATGGTTGAGTAAGCAAGGAAATACGATCTCAGATTATTTAATAACAAATACCACCAAGCCTAAACCAGGTCCTGGTGCTGAAAGGCTGAAGCATCTCATCACCGGTTTGTTAACAGCGGAGGATTTTCATGCCAAGCAGTGTTCTTGATACCTGAAGAGGACCAAGATATTGCACGAAAAGCGGCGAACTTATACTTAGTAACCAGGACAGGAAATTGCCGTCGACACAAAAATAATGATTGCGGCCCTGACTGGGTAGATATTAGATAGCAAATTGTAGGGACTTAGCTGGGTGAAAAATTGCCACTACCTTTTATAGAACATATACTTACCCATTGCATTTAATACAATATTCTTGTAGCTCAAAAGCTGAAGTGTAGTTATAATATCAAGTATAATTTGGTTCCAATTATCAATATATATATATATATATATATATATCAAGTATTTGGTTCATATATTCTGGCAATAAAAATATTTAAAGTTCTTTTAAGAAATAAAAATATGAAGGCCAGAGTGTATAAAATTATGGTCTAATATAAGTTTTGAATTCTTCTTCGAAAAATATTTTTAAGAAGTCGTATTTTATAAGTTTAACTGAAATATATTTAATTCTTATGAAAAAATAATTATTTAAACTCTTATAACTAACTTTTAAGCTCTTTTCAATTTGAATTTAAGTTTTATTGCTATAATGTTTTCTCACAAAATTTTAAATTTAATTTTTTTGTTATAGAATTTTTCTCCCATACACAGTTTAAGTAATAACTTTAGAGTCAACCAGCCAAAAACAATGTGAAACAAGATCATTACTCTACTCCATCTGCTATTTAACAAGTCAGTGAGGCCAGCTGTTCCAACTAAGTAACGAAATTTTTGCCTTCTAGTTTATTCCCTTATTTTGATTGGTAAAAGAATGTAAAATGTAATTTGTAGACGTTTAGTTGATGAATTCAGAATCATAATTTAAAATCATTCTCAATTTACGTGTGTTTTTTATGAAAAAAAATACTGTAACGAATCACGAACCATGATACGAATCCACCAACTAAACGCACTAAAGACTATTTGTGGAAAATATTTTTTATTTTTATTTTTTGTATTCTTTTAATTCCTAAACTTTAGATATTTTCAATTTGTCTCTAACTTTATCAAATTATGTCAAATATTTAATATTTCGCTAACGGAAAAATCACAATTGAAGTACAATAAAATCTTACAAACCAACTGTACTGTAAGGTATTTTAAAAGTTTGTGACTAAAATAGAATGGAGGATAAACATCAAACACTATTTGTGGAATCTCTCTCTACCTCGTGAGTCAAACGTTCTCTCCATGATTACCCAGGAGCCCGGCTTTGGCAGTTTTCAAATTTCAAACGTTTCAAAAACTGACAAAGCCCGTGAATGCATTTTTCTATGACAGAAAATGACAGAGCAGTTGAAGCCAAATTTAATTTTTTTAAAAAAAAAAGAAAAGGAAAAAGACCGCACACACTTTACTTTATGTTGAGGAAAAAAGAATTATATGGTGAAACAGTTTACTTGAATTTTTTTTTTAGTGATAGAATTATATGTTCTTACTATAAACTGTTTCAAGAATACATAACGAAATCGTCATATCAGATCAAAAATCCTCGAAGTTCACCATTTTGAATAAAGAATCAAGCATATTGACAATATTTTGTGCTTGCGGATGGCAAAGATCACCAGCAAGGAACTCCTCAACCAGACCATTCACCTCTATCACACTGCATCCAGGCTGCTTCGGCATCGCCGCTTTGGAGATCAATTTTCTGGCCCTCATTGCCTGCCTTTCCCAGCCAGCTTCTTTATACATGTTATACGAAAGAACACAGGCGCCGCAATCGTTTACTCCCATATCCACTAGCTTTCTCCAAACTCGGTTTCCAACTTCAACATTCCCATAAACTCTGCACGCACTAAGCAACGCTCCCCACACGTTGGCGTCCCACCCTCCTAGCCCTCCCATCTTCTGCTCAATGAACTTCTCGGCTTCTTCTACCATTCCAGCTCTTGCCAAAAGGTCAACAACACACGCATAATGCTCCCACCGGGGCTTAACCCCATAAATAGTGTCCATTTCATAGAATAACTTAAGGCCCTCGTTAACCATTTTCGCATGCGTACAAGCAGTGATCACGGCAACAAATGTGGTTACGGTAGGTTGAATCCCGTTTATGGCCATTTTGTTGAAGAGCCCAAGTGATTTTCTCGCATTACCATTCATGGAGAGCCCGGTTATCATGGCATTACACACTTCCACATCCTTATCAGTAATACCCTCAAAAACTGCCAAAGCCGATTCCACAAAGCCACATTTAGAGTACATATCAACCAACGCGGTGGCCAAAATCGGATTCGAATCAAGCTTATTCCGCTTAGCATAGGAGTGGACCCACAATCCTTGCGTGACAGCACCAAGATGAGCACAAGCGGTAAGAACACTAACGAGAACCGACTCGTTCGGCTTAGTGCCAACCTCTAGCATTTTTCCAAACAAACAAACCACCTCTCTGAAGTCACTCAACCAAGAATACGCGGCCATCATTGCACTCCACGACACTGCATTTCTCTCAGGCATTTCATCGAACACCTCTCTCGCTCTCCCAACATCCCCCACCTTCCCGTACCCATCAGCCATAGCCGTCCACAAAACCACATCTCTCTTAGGACATTCATCAAATACAGAGCGTGCAGTTACCATGTCACCAACAACCGACGAGTAAAACTCAATGAGCGCAGTACTAACAAAAGGGTCGTCCCGAAAACCAAATTTCACAACATGGGCATGAACCAAACGACCAGTTATCTCTGAATTATCATCAAGAATCGTACAAGCTTTTATCAATGGCGGAAAAGTATAGTTATTAGCTCTCAACCCGTAATTCAACATGTCTAAATAGCAACGAACGGCGTGAAGAGGACAGCGAGACTGAACGTACCCTCTGATCATGGTGTTATACGTGAATGTGTTGCAGTAATGAAGGTGTTCAAAAATGGAGCGAGCGTAGGAGAAGAAAGAAGCGTTGTCGGACATGGCGGCGACGGCGACGAGTTGCGAAATGGGGTTCGGGTTTTGATGGGGTGGGGAGGATTTGAGGAGGTGGGCGTGGATTTGGGCGAGTTGCTTTAAGGTTTTGCATTTTCGGGAGAGGGAAATGAGGTGGTCGGTTTTGAGGGGAGTTGTTGTTTGAATCATGTGAAATTGGAATGGCGGGTCATTTCAGTTGTGAGGAAGAGCTTGGTCAGGACTAAACTTCCAAGGTTGTTTCTGAGTATGTTTGGTTTGATGAGTTTTTGGAGCAAGACAATCAGTATGGATGTAGAATTATTTACCAAAAATAAAAGAAATATGACTAGTTCTTCCAGCTCACCGGGTTACTTCACCGGACTTTTAAAGTCTAAATTCAGTATAGGCTTTTTTGTATCGATCCCTCAACTTTTCGAATTTGACAACTCAATTCTTACTACTACACAGAGGAGTTTTTACTACACTTTGACATCGGTCATAAAACTGTATCCAGGACGTTGTAAGTCCTTGGCTTCCACGTCGGTTAAAAACGGACGTCATGCCTACGACGTCGGCTTTTAACGATGTTGAACAGTTCATACGTTGGTAGCTTATTAAGGTCTCGTTCACTTCGCAGATTTAAATTTTTAATTCGAGTTAAGATGTGATATTTTTTAAGAGCTTTTCACTGTAGTAAAAAAAAGGTTAGATGTGATATTTTCTGAGAACTTTTTACTGTAGAAATTTAAAACTGAAAACTCAAATTGGTGAAATGAACGAGGCCTAAGTGATTTAGAATTTGTTTTGTTCGCTGATTCGAATTTTTTATTTGAATTGAGATGTGATTTTATGTGAGAGCTTTTTATTGTAACAAAAAAGTTAGATGTGACTGTTTCTAATAACTTTTTACTGTAATAAAATTCGAATTATAAATTCAAATCGGTAAAATGAACAGAGAGTTAGTACATGGATATTTCACGCTCTATCTGTGACGTGGGGTTGTACGACATGACATGAAATATCTTTTGGCACTTTTTTTTTTCTTTTTTCTGTGGTAGCTTTTTTTTTTTTTTTTTAGATTATACCAATTATAACACTTTTTTGTTGTGTGGTTTTAATGTAGTTGTAAATTAACCAACACGAAATATATATTTTTGGGAATTTTGCCCTGCCTACGATGTATTTTTTACATGCCAAAAAAAATGCAAATCATATATGTACAGGCACTTCGCATAAATAAAATTAAAATATATTGAACTAAAACAAAATAAACGACTTACTAATTGCTCGCCTAATATAATTACATAACACAATCGACAAGTCTAGGAATTAAAACATATAAGTAGTTAATTGTTCAAAAGAATATTCATAAGTTCTCCGGCCCATTCATCGCGAGCAACATCCAAGTCTTGCATTGTGAATGATTTTCTTCCATTGAACTAAAAAAAAAAAAAAACACTTAGATTACCAAGATAAAGAGATATATTTGATCATATATAAATCATATACATTATATAAGATAAGATTACACACCCTTGATCTCAATACATTTTTATAGTTGGGTGCTTCAATAAGCTCCTTCTGTCCTTCATACATCTTAGTACGTAGTATCCACACTTGTTAGGTTGAGTAGGACTCTATACACCAACATAATTATTAGTAACATATATACATATATATATTTTGCTGAAGTAATATATATGTATATCTAATCAAAATAAAACTGTGCTCTACAAATTAAAATTTACCTCATACATTTTCCATATATTGTACTTATCCCTTCATCTCCTTCCTATTTATGCATTACACATAGAAAAAGCTCTTCACAATACATGATATATCAAGTTTCAAATTAACATATTGCGAGTTTTTTTTTTTTTTTTTTTTTTTTTTTTTTTTTGGGCATCTCCATGTTGAAACACGAATCATAAGAGGTGAACATCTTATAAGCATATGATGAACAAAAATGTGGTTGACAAAATCTCGTATATGCATGGTGGAAATTTAATTGACGAAATTTCTTATATGCATGGATGGTGAAATATCTTATATTTTATTCATAGAGAAGGGATTTACAACTTACTGCAACACTGTATTTCCAATGTCGAGACGATTGTCTTTTCCAATTGGATCCAAAAAATATGCTTGCTCTACTCCTGGATTAAGTATAGCAAGCATCCAATGGGACCTAATACAACCAAGATTCTATTAGGATTGTAAATAAAACCAACCTATTACCATAAATGTTTTCGTAATGATATTAAACACATATTTCAATTCACCCTATATTTCAAGGTGTCAATAATATTTGACTCTCTCATTGTTTGCATTTTAGAGGAGAAAGCATGAAAGTAAAGGTTAGGGCTGTTCATAAACCTGAACTGTAATGACTGAGAAAATTCCAGACTTTAAATAATACAATTTATTTATTTAAGCCAAGGATTTTCCTAGAAAATATTATGTGACTGAAGGATTTATGGAATCAATAGATGTATTCCTAAATTCTGTAGCAGATTTCATGTTAAGTTCATGTTTTCGATCAAGTAAATTCGATCGATAAATTCTTGCCGTACTTTAAGGCGGAATAATTTTCAGTACAAGTATAGTTTGAGAATCTTAATTTCAAGAATCTCCAAACACAGCATGATGTTAGCAGTGTAAAAAAAAAAAAACGCACTGACATTTTTAAAAAAAGAGAAAATCCTTAATTGCCAGACAGCTAGGTTAAAGTCAGAAGATAAATACCCATAGTAGAAGGGTATAATGTGAACTCGGGAGTTGACACCGTCAGAAACAACGTCATTTCTGAAAATTAACGCAGGATAGTTAAATTTAGAATTTGTTCAGTCTAGAATTAATTTCAAGACTGTAAACAGTTCAAGATATTACGCGAATAAGAATTTAATGTGATATCCAAAGCAGTCAAAGATTTAACATTTAACTGTAAATAAGCAGTAGAAAAAGGAACCGTCAGAAATGGGAACGAATTCCTGTTAGCTAAGTTACTCTCTTATAGTCAGTATAATTTTTATCAGTTTCTAAGGGAAACTT